TTGGCTACAAACGTCTTCCATCGACTTGGGTGATCGTTTAGCCATGCCAACACCACTGTAGAGTCAGTCCACGCATGTAGGCGAGACTTCGGTACTCCCAGCACTTCGGCTACCTCAACCAGCAAGTTACTCACAAGGACAGCACCACACAACTCGAGTCGCGGAATGGATACTTGTTTTATCGGTGCTACTTTGGACTTNATCTTAAGAGATAGTGTTGTGCGTAACACTAGTGATGTGACTATTCTCATAACAGGTTTGAACATTACCGATTGGATCAATCACACGGATGTAAATGACGGCCGCGTAAGCAATATTGGAAGCATCGCTGAATCCATGTAGTTCAACCTTGGCGTCATTCGTGGTGTTAACCCATCTCGGTAAGTGAAAATTAATCAATTTGTTTAATTCACTGCGATATGATTCCCACTGTTTCAGAAGCTCCGGCGGCAGCTCATCATCCCAACCCATTCCAGCGATCCACAGTCGTTGAATGAAAACCTTTGAGGTAATTATGCATGGTGCAATCCAACCTAGTGGGTCAAACAGTCGTGAAATCTCGGAAATAATTTTTCTTTTTGTTTCAGGTGCGGACGTGGCGGCGCGCGGAGGCAGCTTCACCGAGTAATCAAATTCATCAGTAGTTCTGTTCCAGGTAAGTCCTAAAACTTTAGTTACTTGATCTTGCTTTATCTCTACATCTCTTCCTGCATCTTCTTTAAAAACTTCTAAGAGTTTGTCAGAATTGCTTGTCCATTTCTGCAATCTGAAACCACCTTCTGCTAGGAGTTGGTTTAACTGCTTGTAGACCTCGATTGCTTCGGCTTCCGATTGACACCCTGTCATGACATCATCAATGTACACATCTGATTTTATCCTCTCAGCGGCCAATGGATATTTATGACCTTCATCACAAGCAATTCTTTGCATTGTTTTGACCGCTAAGTAAGGTGCACAACCGGTACCAAACGACACAACCAAAATGCGATAATCTTCAATCTCCTCTTCCGGTCTTTCTCTCCACACAATTCGTTGAAAATCGACGTGTTCTTCAGAAACTCTTACCTGTCTGAACNTCGATCTACCTAATAGAATCAGTGTACTAAAATGTGCTAGTTAATAGTACTAGAAGACCGAACTAGTTCATTTGACCGATTTTCGGAGTTCGGAGCGATCCTTTCAGTGTCCGAGTAAGAACAAGCCTGGCCATAACGAATTTTTTAGTATTTAATAGGTACTAAAAATGTATTGGTGTTATTAAAAATCTAAAAAACATTTCGTCAAAAGTGATTTTATTTGCTTGTCAGTTTCACTAAACGCGCACAGGCGGCGGGCTTCAGGCGCGGCAGCGCGACGGCGCGGCGCTGGACGCCACCCTTCGGCAGTATTTTCAGTCTAGCTCCGAATCCACTTCCACGCCCACTTTGAAAGTTGGCATGAATGTTCTACACAATATTAGCTATTTAAATAAAAAAAATTAAGAAAGGGTCGAACTTTGTGAAAATCAAGGAAAAAAAAATAATTTGCATTTTTTGAGGAAAAAATATTTTTTTTTTCGTTTCCAAAAATACAGTTAAAAAGCACGGTAAATGAAGTAATAAATCCCGTGGTTTAATTATTTTAATATATAATTTTATGACTCCATAATCGGCTTTGAAGTACTGCATGCCAACCGGTTGCCGAAAACTTCGAAGACCCATAACTCTTAAACTAGTCATTATATTACAAAAATATTTGGTACACGTATCAATAATATGTATAGGTAGAACATACTCAAATATTACTGAAATCGGAAACATCGACTTTTTTTACCTGTCCGCTTCGCGTGGAATGCTCCATAGGTAACATTGCGTACAATTGATTTTAAAGAAGAAGCATGTTGTATGCAGGACGCCTGTTAGGATATCTGGGTCCTAAGTCCTAACACGTCCTCTTGTCCCTGGTTTTTTTCTTTTTCTTTTTGAGTGTCCTAACTCGACCTCTTACCCTTAAGACGAGGTTCAGCTTTCCTAAGCTGTTATCCTGCTAAGACGAGATCCAGCTAGTGATATCGGGCACGGCAGTGGATTTTTAAGCGTGTCGACTTGTCGCCCAGGACGCTTGCTGGTGTATCTGTGTCCGAACACGTCCTTTTGCCCCTAAGACGAGCTATACTAACCTGTTAGCCTGCTTCCAGGACGAGATCCAGCTGGTGGTGTCGGGCACAACAGTGGATTTTTGCGATTGTTCTTGAAATCCGACTAGTAGTGTCATTAATGTCAGAATTTCTGCGACATCTGTTAGGAAACCTGAGACTCATCCCAGGACGTCTGGTGGAAAATATCTATCTTTACACGTCCCATTGTCTTCCAGGATCTTATCCAGCTAGTAATATCGGGCACGACAAAAGTTTCTAGAACATCTTAAGTCTTTAACACGTCCCCTTCCCTCCAGGACGAGATCCAGCTAGTGACATTGGGAACTGAGGTGGATTTCTGGGCCATCTACTGTGTTATCTAAATTATCTTTATTTGTATAGAATAATTAAATTAGTATATAAAAATCGTCAATTGCTCTTAAGGAGCCTATACATGTCTCATCTCGTTAGTGTCTTAACTCGTCCTCTTGCCCTTAAGACGAGGTCCAGCTGTCCTAAGCTGTCATCCTGCCTCCAGGACGAGATCCAGCTGGTGGTGTCGGGCACGGCGGTGCGGCTGGCGGACGCGCGCGAGCCCGAGCGGCGGCTGGGCACCGGCGACGCTGATGACGACATCTTCGGACGAATTGATTACAGCTCGGCGAAACTTGAACCATGTCCATGTTAGGGCGTCTGATCTATCTAGCATACCTTCTTGTCCCCCAGGATGAAATCCAGCTAACAGAATCGGGCACAGCAGTTGATTTTTGGGTTTATTTTTGAGGTCCGACTAGTAGTGCCAGGAATGACGGTGTATCTTTCCGATATTTGGTGAAAAATCTCATCTTCTCTTCCAGGACGTCTGGTGGGAAATCTTTATCCTGTCTTCTGACGCGGATGACGACGTCTTTGAAGGAATTATTTATTTATTTATTTGTAATAGGTATACAAACAGTTTACAGTCTGGGCTTCATCGTAAAGAATTAATTAGAATCCTGCGAAAACTGATCCTTCTTGCCTTCAGGATAAGAACCAGCTAGTGATATTGGGAACGGAGGTGGATTTTTGTGCCATCTACTAGGAAATCTGTCTTATAAGCATCTTGATTTGTCTCCCAGAACGCCTGCTAAAAGATCTGTGTCCTAACTCGTCTATAGTCTGGTCCGGGAGCACGTAGAATTTTGTCCAATGACCCCAAGCTACCCATCCTTATCACTCGCGCGTAATTATATTGCTGTCGCGACTGTGCGACGGGCGCCCGCACTGAGTGTGCGAGCGCGATAGCAATATAATTACGCGCGAGCGATAAGGATGGGTAGCTTGGGGTCATTGGACAAAATTCTACGTGCTCACAGACCAGACTATAGTAGTACCAAGCACAGCGGCGAATTTTTGGGACATCTAAGTCGTAATACAGTTATCTGTCTTCCTAAACCTGATCCAGTTATCCTAATAAGCCTCCTGCCTCCAGGACGAGATCCAGCTAGTAGTATCGGGCACAGCAGTGGATTTTTGGGACTATTCTTGAGATCCGACTATAGTCTGGTTCGGGAGCACGTAGAATTTTGTCCAATAAGACGAGGTCCAGCTGTCCTAAGCTGTCATCCTGTCCCCCAGGACGAGATCCAGCTGGTGGTGTCGGGCACGGCGGTGCGGCTGGCGGACGCGCGCGAGCCCGAGCGGCGGCTGGGCACCGGCGACGCTGACGACGACATCTTCGCGCTGGACGAGGAGCAGCTGGCTAGAGCGCCGGTCGAGCCGGTGGATGAGAAGATGGCTAATGGACAGGTATAGACACCAGGGATGTAATGGATATCCGTAACCATAACCGAAACTTTCGGATATCCGAAATAAAAAAATATCCGTAACCGTAACCGAAACCGGTATAATATTATTCCTATATCCGTAACCGTATCCATAACCGAAACTACATATCCATAACATCCCTAATAGACACCACATAATCATTGTTTTAAAGGTCAAATGTCGCTCTGAAGGATTTCCACAATGACCAATCCTGCCTTCTCGGCATATGGTTGCTTCCAGCGATCTTCACTAAACCATCAGTCCACCGAGTGACACCACCAACATCGCCAGGTCATTTACGTCCGTATTAACTATCCGTCCGTATTACTATGAGGTCTCACAGTGCGCGTGGATGCACAGGGTGATACACGTACCTATCACAGAGCTCTGTTCAACGCTGTGCGTTCGATTTGCTGCTTCACTTAAGCAAGTATCGTTTGTGGATACGGGCGACTCCACTAAGAGCACAACCCTCTCTAATTTACTAAAGGATTTCGTCTACACTCCCCACGCTGGCCAGACAGGCCGGGAGGGTGATTTCGTGACGTCAAACGTCAGTAAGATTTCAGATTTGTATGCTCTGTCACGTCTGTCACGTCACGTTATTATGTATCCCGTGCCGCTCCTATCCCTCGCTAGACCTATATATACCTACGGAATTTTAATTAAACCTTTTGATAGCCTTTTTTACTGTATAAGTAATTAATCAGAATACAATTCTTCCCCAACAGACGCCCACCACAGTATCTCTGACGTCAGTGTGCACCATAAGTGGCGCGCGCGCCGTTAGACGCGTGTGTGCGTTGCGACTACTCTTCGTAAGAGAAACCACTACTGTGCGGGAGCTGGGAGGACTTAGCGGATTCCTACACACGTTTACTTGTGAGGTAAGCGATGTCATTTGTTATTTATCCATAGAATTCAATAGAATAGAAAACAGTTTATTTGGTAAAATATGTCACGACCACTAGGCCTAAGATGCGCGCCGTGATAACTTTTATCGACGTCAAAATGTATGGGCAAAATCGATAAAATCGCGTGATAACCGGTTATTGCAGTGCGCATCTTAGAATTTTTATCACGGGACCTTTGTGCCTGCTGTTTTTGCATTTTTACCTCAGAATACAAAAGCAAAAGAGAAAGCCTTTTCTGTCAAAGCTATACTGATGCCAGGTTAGGGTTATTCTAACGAAAAGACAAATTAACACTCATAAGTTTTTTTTTTATCCACAACGAGGAAGCTCTTGGCCTGTATCTCACCTGATAGTAAGTGACGATCAGGCCGAAGGTGGAAGCAAGCTTCACCCAGAATCCTCAACCACGGAGGAACTGGCTATCTTACCTCTAACTGCCCGAACACAACAATGCTGTTAACATTGTTGTTATGGCGACAGACTTATTTCCGACTGGGAATCGAACCCACTCATACCACTAGACCAGAGAGGCAGTTATTAGAATAGAAAACAGTTTATTTGGTAAAATATGTCACGACCACGACACCATTTTTTATCACGGGACCTTTGTGACACTGGGCTTTGCTGTTTTTGTATTTTTACCTCAGAATACAAAAACAAAAGAGAAAGCCTTTTCTGTTAAGGTTATTTTAACGAAAATATAACTAAAATAAAGTTGTTTCTGAATAACCACTCCAAATGTCAAAAAACCCTAATATCTCGGCACATTCAGCTACTCGCACAAGGGTCAGTATCTTGACAAATCATTTTTAAATTCATCATTTCAGCCATAGGACGTCCACTGCTGAACATAGTCCTCCCCCAATGCTTTCCATGTTACCCGGTTGGTAGCGGCCTGCGTCCAGCGCTTTCCTGCTACCTTTATGATGTAGACCTTGTTTTTTCAATTGCGATTGCGAAAAAGCGAGATAGGCAGATGTGGCATGAGGCCCCCAAAGGTTATAATCGACAAACTAACACTCTTAAGTTATCTTTATTAAGTTGATTTTCTTTTCGTGATTTGTTATAAAGTTATTTTAGACAACTAACGCACACCTACGTCGTGTCACACTTTTGTTCTGTCTGCAGTACACTTAACCCTTAATAAATGACTGCAGGTGCTAGCCATAGCGCGAGCCTACACGGCGGCGCTGGGCGGGAACGCGCTCACCTCGTTCTACATCACGCAGCTCATGCTGCAAGACAACGCGCACAAAAACCAGGTAAATTATGTAAGAATAAGATAAGAATTAGAAAAAAATTATTTGACACAAAAAGAAACTAAACAGAACAAAGGGACTTAAAACTATACACGCATATTTTTGTGCCAAAAAGGCGCCCTCAGCATTAATCGAGCCACGCGTGCCCCGACGCTGGTTTTTAGCGGGTGCCTTTATGTACTGTCGCCAACAGTATTAACTGCCCATTGAAAGTCATGTCATCTCGTTCTATCGAAAAGAATCGCCATTTGATTAGAGCAGTCTTTCCCAAAGTGGGTGATAACGCCCCCTTGTGGGCGCTGCAGGATTAAAGGGGGGCGGTAAGAGACCCCGGAAAAAAATCGGGGCATTGTGTAGAGGCTTGGGAGGCGATTTATAATATCATCTACTAGGAGGACTCTTAGACACCGACTGAGCACTCGACTCTTAACTACAAAAATGGGGGCGCTAAAAAAATTGATTCTCAAAGTGGGCAGTTAGACAAAATAAGTTTGGGAACCGCTGGATTAGAGCGAGAGCAAAAACGGAAATAGATAGTTAACAGTGTGGGCGTGTGTACATAATTCTGCTTGAAAAGCTCTAGAAAGAAAACAATATTTTAATTATCACACTGAAGTTGGAAGTGGCCTATCATAGTCGGTGTTTCCAACAAAGAGATGTGTTTGAATACCAATAAAAAAAAATCGAAACCGAAACTGAGCGGCCTATATCCAGCGCCTTCCTGCTACCTTTATCAGGTCGTCGGTTCACCTTGTGGGTGGACGTCCCACGCTACGTTTTCCGGTACGTGGCCTCCACTCCAGAACCTTGCAGCCCCATCAACCATCAGTTCTGCGTACGTGCTTTGCCCATTGTCACTTCAGCTTGCCAACCGAGCTATGTGGAAGTCATTGGGGGAGGCCTATGTTCAGCAGTGGACGTCCTGTGGCTGAAATGGTGATGATATGATGAATCTGAGCGGATAAGCAACGTTGAAACAACGAACTCTGATTGGTTATTCAAACACATTGCTCATCCTCTACGCTTTGGTGAAAACCTTTAGTTCGTTTCGGGTTCCACACAGATATCAAAACTCTCTACCTTCACTGATTGGGTTTTATTGAAGGCCAAATTGTAAATCTATGCAGGACTTTCAGTGGTAATCTACCTGGCTAAGATATTAATTTTTCTCTCGGAATATAATAATATGCAAATAATAACTTAATTTATTCCACAGGGTCAATGTCTTCTATCAGTGGGAGGCGACGTGGTGCATATTACGTACTAGGCATAGCGAAATATGACATATCTGTAATGATGTAACCAGCTGTACGCAAGCCAAAACGCGCCTGAGCATTTAAAGTGCAATGAAAATTGCACTTTATGCCGACATCTTTAGGACCGTATTTGCTTGAGGCAAGTAGCATTAGATACGCGCAATCTAAGGTGTGATATCCAACCAATTGCTATCATAAGTCGTAAAAAGAGACTGTTTAAACTGTGTAAGAAAACAAATCGTCTGAAATGTCCGCTTTTTCATATATTTTTTTTTTATGTGATAGGAGGCAAACGAGCAAACGGATCACCTGATGGTAAGTGATTACCGTCGCCCATAGACACCCGCAGACCTATTTTAATATTTAAAGTTTTCATATTTGGTGTATTAAATATCTTGGCCTGTTTAGCCAATAAAGTACTTTAAAAAGAAATCGTATAAACATCATAAGATTTCTGGTCAAATCCAAAAGATATATTTATGTTATAATGTTGTTCCAAAATTATTAGAAAATGATTGTTGTATATTTTTAAAGATTTTGTTTTATGTAATCATTGAGTCAGAGACAAACTTGATGGCATATCAAGCTGAACATTAAGGCCGAGTTGCACCATCTTACTTTAACTTTAACAAACGTCAAAAATCTGTCAAACCATACAAAAAACACTGGTTAGTGTTGTAGTCACCGTTGAAGTCAATAGGTGCAACTCAGCCTAATTCTTATGTACTTATAATTAGGTGTTATTTTGCAACGAAAATGATCACCTGGTGTGCTGACGTATATGCTACGAACTTCAAAGAGTCATTATTAAAAATAGTTACTAACCAAACCATGACAAATTGGCAACTTACGATTTTATTTATCAATTATGTTTTTATCAAAATTTATTAAAAATAAGTTTTACGTATGCTCTCCAAAAGTTAAAGTTTGTGTTCATTTCTTGCCATAAATGTTATGTGAGTCTGTTAATATATTTCTATACTATCGTGTGATTATTTCTATATTAAACCCACACGTACATAATTATACAATTTAATTTTAACAGGAAAAATAAGATTTTTAGAATACATTTTTTTATAACTAGTGTCCGAAGAAATAGTCTTACTATGCCTATAATATTTTAATGAAACTGGTACTAAATAGCATAAGTTTAATATGTCTTGCCTTTCTTTATGATTAATTCAAGATTTTTTAAAGACATTCATTTTTAGACCACTCCTTTTATATGAATAAATAAAAATATACCCATCTGTCTACAACTGATAAATTTTGAAACTGTATTTTAACTGTTTTTGTGTTGTTCCTTAATGACTACATAATTATTTCATACCAAAATACTTTGATATTGATATAAGTATACATTTTTACTATGGCAAAATTAAAGAAAACTGTAAATAAATATTGATTACATATTTTCTAATCGCTTAAAATTTACATGTAAAGTAGNTAATTTTCAAATTAGTTTGAGATGCGACTCTTAACGCTAAAAATTTAATAACTAAGAAAAACTTTATTTGACACAAAAAGAAAATAAACAGAACAAAGGGAAACTATACACGCATATTTTTGTGCCAAAAAAGCGTCGCACGCGTTCCCCGACGCTGGTTTTCAGCGGGTGCCTCTATGTACATAATTCTGCTTGAAAAGCTCTAGAAAGAATACAATATTTTAATTATCACACTGAAGTTGGAAGTGGCCTATCATAGGCGGCGTTTCCAAAAAAGAGATGTGTTTGAATAACCAATAAAAAAATTCCAAACCGAAACTGAGCGGCCTGCATCCAGCGCCTTCCTGCTACCTTTATCAGGTCGTCGGTTCACCTTGTGGGTGGACGTCCCTCGCTACGTTTTCAGGTACGTGGCCTCCACTCCAGAACCTTGCAGCCCCATCAACCATCAGTTCTGCGTACGTGCTTTGCCCATTGTCACTTCAGCTTGCCAACCGAGCTATGTGGAAGTCATTGGGGGAGGCCTATGTTCAGCAGTGGACGTCCTGTGGCTGAAATGATGATGATGATGAAACTGAGCGGATAAGGGACGTTGAAATAACGAACTCTGATTGGTTATTCAAACATGTTGCTTCTCCTCTACGCTTTGGTGAAAACCTTTAGTTCGTTTCGGGTTCCACACAGCTATCCCCCAAAACTCTACCTTCACTGATTGGGTTTTATTGGAGGCCAAATTGTGTCTCTAATCTATGCATGACATTCGGTAGCGATGAGTAGTGGGATTAGTCCTCCTAATCTGCCTGAAACATTGATATTTTAATCAATTTTTATCTCTCTCTCGGAATATAATAATATGCAAATAATAACTTAATTTATTCCACAGGGTCAATGTCTTCTATCAGTGGGAGGCGATGTGGTGCATATTACGTACTAGGCATAGCGAATTATGACATATCTAATGATGGCAACCGGCTGTACGCATGTCAAAATGCGCCTGAGCATTAAAAGTGCAATGAAAATTGCACTTTATGCCGACATCTTTAGGACCGTATTTGCTTGAGGCAAGTAGCATTAGATACGCGCAATCTAAGATGTGATATCCAACCCATTGCTATCATAAGTCATAAAGAGAGACTGTTTAAACTGTGTAAGAAAACAAATCGTCGAAATGTTCGCTTTTTCATATTTTAATACTTAAAGTTTTCATATTTGGTGTATTAAATATCTTGGCCTGATTAGCCAATGAAGTACTTTAAAAAGAAATCGTATAAACGTCATAAGATTTCTGGTCAAATCCAAAAGATATATTTATGTTATAATGTTGTTCCAAAATTATTAGAAAATGATTGTTGTATATTTGTAAGTTTTGTTTTATGTAATCATTGAGTCAGAGACAAACTTGATGGCATATCAAGCTGAACATTAAGGCCGAGTTGCACCATCTTACAAACGTCAAAAATCTGTCAAACTATACAAAAAACACTGGATAATGTTATAGTCACCGTTGAAGTCAATAGGTGCAACTCAGCCTAATTCTTATGTACTTATAATTAGGTGTTATTTTGCAACGAAAATGATCACCTGATGTGCTGACCTGTATGCTACAAACTTCAAAGAGTCATTATTAAAAGTAGTTACTAACCAAACCATGACAAATTGGCAACTTACGATTTTATTTATCAATTATATTTTTATCACAATTTATTAAAAATAAGTTTTACGTATGCTCTCCAAAAGTTAAAGTTTGTGTTCATTTCTTGCCATAAATGTTATGTGAGTCTGTTAATATATTTCTATACTATCGTGTGATTATTTCTATATTAAACCCACAGGTACATAATTATACAGATTTTTCACCGGAAATATAAGATTTTTAGATTACATTTTTTTTATAAGTAGTGTCCGAAGAAATAATCTTACTATGCCTATAATATTTTAATGAAACTGGTACTAAATAGCATAAGTCTTGCCTTTCTTTGTGATTAATTCACGTTTTTTTAAAGACATTAATTTGTAGACCACTCCTTTTGTATTAATAAATAACCTATCTATCTAAAACTGATAAATTTTGAAACTGTATTTTAACTGTTTTTGTGTTGTTCCTTAGCGACTAAATAATAATTTAAAACAAAATACTTTGATATTGATATAAGTATACATTTTTACTATGGCAAAACCCAAAATTAAAGAAAACTGTATATAAATTATTAATTACATATATTCTAATCGCTTAAAAATTTACATGTAGGTAAAGTAAAATTTTCAAAAAAGCTTGTATTTTGTATGGAACGTTGTATATTATTTTTACTGTCGTAGCTCAATGGTTAGTGTATATAATACGGTGCTATGTCTACATTATCAACTTGTATATACAATTTATTGATCTATCTTTCTGATACCAATGCATGTCATTAGTTATGTATACTTCTGTTCTTTTTAATAGATTTTACAATTACAATAAATAAATACCGAGTTTCAAAATACAGTAAAGTAGGTCAATTAAAAGGCACACAAAATGTCAAGCTATAATTTGAAAATAACAATCGATATTCTACTAGAAGTATCCCAATGTATTGTGAAATATTTACCCTTACTCTAAGCTATATAATGAACATCTTGTGGTAGTTTGATGCAAACTTAGATTTATTAAAGCCTTATTATTATCTATGTCTGCAAAATAATAAATTTAGCAACTTTTTGATATTTATTTAAACAAACAGTCAATCTTTTCATTACAGCAAAATCAAGATTTAAGAACAAGAAAAGATTACATAGTGTTGTTGTAATCCTGTTTATATTATAAAAAATGTATTTATCGTGTTCTTACTGATTTTAGATAAAATACAGTGTGTTTGGGATAGGGCTAGAGATAATTTACGGCGATGTTGTGATGTCAATATTATCGTCAAAAATGCCCCCATATTATGTGGGCCCACCGGGGCTTAATTTTTTATGTGACTACATAAAAATTGTTAGTATTATGTGCCCGTCTTACAAATAAATAATACATTGCATTTGTAAGCCAATAATATGTGTCATTAAATAGACACAAGAATGAAAAATAATGACCATAAAACTTTAAAAAAATGAATTTTAGTTTTTGTCAAAAAAATCAGTTTTGACGGGCACGTTTTTGGGGGTACTTTTGTCGATAAACTTGACATAAAAACATCGCCTTAAATTATCGCTAGCCCTATCCCAAACACACTGTATGTGTACCTATGCGAAATGACAAAATTATATCTCTCTTTATTCTATAACAAAAAATTAACTGTTAGCGCAATTTGTATGTTTTTATGGTATTTTCGATGACAAGTGTGTTATAGAATGAAAATATACTGTGAGAAACTTTTATTGCATTTCATTTTAAACTCCCGAAGCAGCGAAGAGTATATTAGATGTATTTTGTCTGTAGTATTTTATTTTTAATCCCAAAAGACGAACCGATTTCGATCTAGTTTTTTGTTTTCAAGATCGAGGAAAACGTGAGATTCGACGTAACGACCAAAATAGCAGTAAATAAAGCTAGAAAATGACTGCTATATTGCTCATACCCTAAACTAATTAAAGTATGTATGGGTACATTCCTGTTTAATATTTAAATAATTCATTTCAGTCAAATCACAGAATACATAATAGTAGTGGTCAAATGTGGTCCGCCATTATTTTTAAACTTTAGCGCCTAATTGCTAATTTATTTTCGTCGGTAGACATGAGTTTTTTCTTGTCTTCAACATTATTAATATTTTGCAGGTAGACTCGAAAAAGTGGCCAAGTCAGACGGTCTCGGGAACAACGTTTACGCAACATTGTTCCATAATTGAATTACAACTGTTTTGTGCCGTTTCCGAAGATCTTCCGCGAGTGTACTTGGTGGACTAAACAGTGTTTTGTTTCGTGTGTGTAAAATTGTACAATTCACTTGTTCGATACAAGATGTGATTTGAGTATCAGTGCTGGATGTCGGCGTTCGAGAAAACCACTGGATCTTCTAACCAAAGACCTCGGTGCACCATTTTCCGTGAGTTATGAATCCTTTACTTTCTTATTTCTATTTTTCTATGTGTCTATTTGACTGCACGTCTACATTATTGTTTGCAATAACTAGGTAAATACTTAGGTCTTAGACCCGTTTTCTACCAAATTCTATAGGAAAATTTGACGGCCTGACATCTCCGCTCCGCTCCGCCTTAGTGGAAACCAAACTTTAGGCATTTAATTTTCGTTGATAATATCAATATAATTACTTTTCTTTCAAATGTACGGTGTTTTTCAATAACTTTATTTTATTTTGGAAGGGAGTCAAGGAAATGAAATAAAACACGTCGCCTTGTCATAAATATGGAATTTATTTAAAACATTTTAATATTCTTACACTTACCAAATGAAATGCCACAAAAATATTGACAACAAGATCGATAATTACACCTTAAACTATTAATACTTTTAGCAGTAAGTACATCGTAACCTAGCCTTATAAATTTGGGGAGAGAGGTTCAGATTGTCGCTCGGATACCTATATAATAAAACTAGTATGGCGAAACATAATTTGTCCGTCTGTCCGTGGATATGACGGCTAAATTACCCTTCTTAGATAAATCTACGTTAATGTTTTGGACGAAAGGGTGGTTATTGGTTATGCAGTTAGTTCAAGCCTCGTCGCTGCGGGGTGCGGGGTGAGACGCCGCCACACGTCAGCGCCGGCGCCCAAAGCGCAGGAAAGAGTGCACGACATCTTGCCGTTTCATTCCGGTGTCGAGGAGCTGAGGGTAGTCGCGTACTAGAGCTGAAACAAAAGCTTTCGGTTAATTTTAATTGTAGACGCACTATCAGGATTCAGGATCTTAGAAAACATTTGGTGCCTTGTTACGACTTAAACATGGGTCCAGTCTAGTGTTTAGAGGCCTTCCGTACGCCGACCTTGGGCCAAACATAGTGATACCGACTTAATTTTTAACACCTGTAATATGTTATTTACCTATGTTCCACAAATAAACGAATTTGATTTGAAAAAAAAAATTTGAATTTGATTTGTAATAAGTTAGGTTCATTTTTTTAACGCAGTGTAAGACGTCCACCCACTAGGTGAACCGTCGACCTGATAAAGGTAGCAGGAAGGCGCTGGATGCAGGCCGCTACCAACCGTCCTATGTGGAAGTCATTGGGGGAGGCCTATGTTCAGCAGTGGACGTCCTGTGGCTGAAATGATGATGATGATGATTTTTTTAACGGCCCCCGTCCTGCTGGATGGCTCGTAAGGCCATCCGTGTAGGCGGGCAATCGCCGGGAGGGACTTTGGTACTGAAGGCTTTATCCGTAATCCCACAGTTCCTTCACACTTAAGGCAAATGAGGGTAATAATAGGTGATGTCTGTCTGACTCTGTCCATCTGCTTCAATTGTGTAACCTAAATATTCATTCGCAAAATCATAGGAAAACATGAGAGCCCATATCTAAACTGAATCATCAACCTGCAATCACGTTATCCCAATGATCCGGAATCATGTTGCGACCTAATTTTGATGATTCGGTTAACGAAATGCAGCTGCTGCGGCGTCAACGAATTTGCATACTATAGTCATATTCAGTAGAGTCTTCAAGCCAACTGTTTCATAACTTTAGGATATTTATTTATTTGAAAAAATGTTTGATGTCACTATAAAAACTTCAAGATTTAATAAACTTTAAAAGTGTTGAAGTTATGGAGTTGTGTATTATGTGCTGTAAAGTCACTAATTTAATTTTGTTCGTCGAGACGTTGGCATAAAACTAGCAATTTTAAAGTGCTATGCAGCTCTTAACTTTTGACCTACATTATGGTTTAATTAAACATAAGCAAGCTCCTTTCTAACATAAAAGTAATTTGGTTCGAGTATTGACCGAAGCTTCTGTTTTTACCTTCATTTGTGGTACCCCGGTGATAAATGATTCGCGAAGGACGCATGAATGCGAGTGATGATTGAAGTTAGGAAATGTAAAACATGGCCTAAGTTTCGACTTTCGACTTAAAAGTGGAATTTATAAAATTCAGTCCATGTGAACAAGTATTGTGTATATTTAGGATTTCCAGAATGTTCGCCTCGGCGCAGAACTCCAAGAAAGTGTTCAGAGCCTGACAGTAGCGCACGGCCCTCGGATTACAGCGCTGGTATCGAACGGAGGGGCTTAGATAGAGGAATTGCCTACCTTGCTATCATTGAAGAGTAGCTTCATTGGTATTCAGGAACCTGTTCGCCTGCTACCTCGGCGTATAGCTCCAAGAAAGTATTGAGAGCCTGGCAGAAGCGCGCGGCTCTTGGGTCATTCTCCGCAGCGCCGGCGCACAGCGGCGCAGACACCGAGGATAGAGGGGCTTGGATACGTTAAATGAGGAGTTGCCTCCCTTTTGCTTTCACTGAAGAGTAGCTTACCTTGGTATTCAGGAACCTGGTCGCCTGCTGCTTTAGCGTACAGCTCCAGGAAAGTATTAGAGCCTGACAGAAGCGCGCGGCCCTAGGGTCGTCCTCCAGTGGCGCCGACGCGAGCATCGAACGTAGATACTTAGATACTAGATGAGGAGTTGCCTACGTCACTAGCACAGATAGAGGTGTAGCCTCAGATCTCTTTCTATGATCTGAGGGTGTAGCCTAAGGAGTCTACCTTGATACTCAGGAACCTGTTCGCCCGCTGCTTCGGCATACAGCTCCAAGAAAGTGTTGAGAGCCTNTACATAGTGTTGTTGTAATTCTGTTTCTATTATAAAAAATGTATTTATCGTGTTCTTACTGATTTTAGATAAAATACAGTGTGTTTGGGAATAGGGCTAGCGATAATTTAAGGCGATGTTGTGATGTCAATTTTATCGACAAAAATGCCCCCATATGTGGGCCCACCCTCTCCTCTTGGACTGAGGGGGGGGGGGGGGCTTAATTTTTTATTTGAATACATAAAAATTGATTGTATTTCTTATGTGCCCGTCTTACAGGTAAATAATAAATTGCATTTGTAAGCCAATAATATGTGTCATTAAACAGACACAAGAATGAAAAATAATGACCATAAAACTTAAAAAAAAATGAATTTTAGTTTTTGTCAAAAAAATCAGTTTTGACGGGGACGTTTTTGGGGGCATTTTTGTCAATAAAATTGACATTAAAACATCGCCTTGAATTATCGCTAGCCCTATCCCAAACACACTGTATGTGTATGCGAAATGACAAAATTATATCTCTCTTTATTCTCTAACTCAAAAAGTAACTGTTAGCGCAATTTGTATGTTTTTATGGTATTTTCGATGTATACAAGTGTGTTATAGAATGAAAATATACTGTGAGCAACTTTTATTGCATTTCATTTTAAACTCCCGAAGATATTAGATGTATTTTGTCTGTAGTATTTTATTTTTAATCCCAAAATATGAACCGATTTCGATCTAGTTTTTTGTTTTAGAGATCAAGAAAAACGTGAGATCCGACGTAACGACCAAAATAGCAGTAAATAAATATAAAAAATGACTGCTATATTGCTAATACCCTAACAAAATAAATAAAGTACCTACGTAGAGTACATTCCTGTTTAATATTTAAATAATTCATCGTCAAAAATGTAGTCCACCATTATTTTTAAACTTTCGCGCCTAATCTTTTCGTCGGTAGACAGAAAAAGTGTTTTTAATATTATTAATATTTTGAAGGTACACACGAAAAAGTGGACAAGTCAGTCCTGTCTCGAGAATATTTAAATGCATACCGTGCAATATTCCATTATTTGGATTGAATTACGACTGTTTTGTGCCGTTTCCGAAGATCTTCCGCGAGTGTATTTGCTGGATTAGACCAGACAGTGCAGTTTCGTGTGTGTAAAATTGTGCAATTCACTTGTTCGATACATTAAGATTTGTGATTTGAGTATCAGTGCTGGATGTCGGCGTTCGAGAAAACCACTGGATCTTCCTAACCAAAGACCTCGGTGCACCATTTTCCGTGAGTTATGAATCCTTTACTTTCTTATTTCTATTTTTCTATGTGTATATTTGACTGCACGTCTACATTATTGTTTGCAATAACTAGGTAAATACTTAGGTCTTAGACCCGTTTTCTACCAAATTCTATAGGAAAATTTGACGGCCTGACATCTCCGCTCCGCTCCGCCTTAGTGGAAACCAAACTTTAGGCATTTAATTTTCGTTGATAATATCAATATAATTACTTTTCTTTCAAATGTACGGTGTTTTTCAAGAACTTTATTTTATTTTGGAAGGGAGTCAAGGATTGAAATAAAACACTTCGCCTTGTCATAAATATGGAATTTATTTAAAACATTTTAATATTCTTACACTTACCAAATGAAATGCCACAAAAATATTGACAACAA